GCTAGCGCGGTCAATTGGCCAGAAACGTGGAATAATGGACAAATCCTCCACTTGCTCTCCTTTAGGGATGAAATCCCTGACCATGAGATCTCCGTTACCGCTGGCCGCCAACAAGGTGGTACGATGCTTCTGCTGCACTTTGAGGAGGCATTGATGAACGACATCGTGTTTGTCCTTTGCATGCTCTTGCACAACTCTGTAACCATAAATGGCCGCGTGCCCCCAAATAGGATCAGCACAGACATCCTTCAGCATTGCCTTGAATTTGCTCAAGGGGTTGTCATAGAAGGACTGGAAGATGTCTTTGGCTGTCAGTCGTGCGTCACATTCCAAGACCAATTCACACACTGCAGCCAACGTAAGAGTGATGGAAGGAGTCGGCAGCGAAAACTGGACATCGGGAGTGACAACAAGCAAATGCACCTGTCGCTTATATTCTTGGTTCAACGCAGGATCAAAGACAATCACTTCAAAGGGCCCAGACAAGTTGGGCAGTTTGGCCAGCGAATCGGTTGGATCTATAAGCGGCAAAAGGAGGGCGCAAGCCTCTTTGGGTTTCACTTCCATGATCTGCTGGATGTTGCGTTTGGAAACAAAGGCGATACCACCTCGATTGGTGGACAGTTGCTGCTTCTGCACAAAGGGCACTGGTGTCTTGTCCTTTGCAACAAAGGGATGATCCGATTGCAGCTGTAGGTCCTCCCACTTGCTCTGCTTGGCTTGCTTTTTCTTGGACTTCCACGGGTCATCAAATTGCCACGGATCAACAGCCTGCATTGCAGTATCGGCTTGGGGCAAGGCTTCCATACCACCAAGGGAGATAGCAGAACAGGTTTGCATCACCTGCAAACCTCCAACCAGCAGGAAGGTCCGGCGGACATTCTCAGCAAAGGTCCTCAACATTGGTGACGCACCAGCGACCCTCCAGGCAATGTCTGATTCACCAAGGATGAGATCAACCGCCTGCCTTTTTTGTTGCGGGACATGAAAGTCAGCTGGAACTGTGAGGTCTGCAACAACCCATCGATGAAGGAGCTCCCAGCCGCACATCCCAGGTCTCGTCCTGGTGGTATCAACAATGATGATAGGTCGGAACCCAAAAGGAACAACAAAGTCATTGGCAAAGTCAGTCCAGAATTGTTGGTCACGGACAGGAACTTGCAGAAAGACAACTCTACAAGTGTGTTCCCTCGCATTGCAGACGACTTCAATACCGACCCAATGCCCTTGGCGAAGAGCGACAAATCGTTGAACTTCATCGGACATAGGTTTGACTCCAGCAGCAATGACTGACAAATCATGACGCAGGACTGGAGGGCAGAAGGACTCTGGCATGAAGAACCCAGGGTGGGTGCGGTAGATGTTGGCCCGCATGTCCAGCCATTCATCAGCAACAAAGAAGATCTCATTGATGTTGTAAACATGCATTGGTCTCCCAGTCGATCGAAGGGTCAAGTCAGCAGCCCTGCTGGGGGATTCCATGATAGCAACCAAAAAGGCATTGCGACTGGCACGAGCAAATTGCAGCATGCGGTCATCTGTTTGAGTATCACGCCAAATGAAGTCAGCTTGGTCAATGGCCTGCATGACATGCTCACAATACTGGGCCCTCTGCAGTCTTTGTGTAGTCCGATGTGTTGCAGGAAGCAAAGGGGCACCTGCTCGGGCATAAAAGGTCCTGAGTGTGTACCACGGCGCAAGTTCCGAGTCCTCAGCAGTACGGATCCACCTGAAGTTGTTGGGGGGAACTTGAATTCCCATGACATTGATCAATTCCAACACTGCAGTGCGTTGCCGCTGGGTCAACTGTTCAGAAGAATGGTACAGGATCCTCCACTGGCCTTCAAAGAAGCGGACTTCGACAAAGATCCAATCGTAGACCACAAGGATCGGAACCATAAAATGTTGGGAGCAGAGCTGTAGGTCCGCTGGTTCAACAGGAAAGCGGAACTGGGCTTCATTGCTAACCCAAAGCGCAGGTGGGCACCAGCAGATTGTTGGCATCAAAATCTGTAAGATATCGCAATGAAAGAGCATTTCGTCGATGGCAAGGGCTCCAGGTTCCAAGTTGAGCTGCAGCAGCCTTGCCATGATTGGGTCTTCAAGGACATTGCAACTTGGATTTGTCGTGAGACGATCCATACCTCCAAGAACAACGGGTGCAGCACCCCCTGGTCGATCATCACCCCACAGCACATCTCCATTGATGAGCATGAGTGGCTGGTCCAGGCAACAGGGCACCGAGTTCCTGATAGAGATATTACATTGCTGCTGCAAAAGTGACGCACACTGCCGAGGAGATGCAGTACGCGGAACTTGACAAATTTTCAGCCACTTGGCATCACGACCACCACCCAGGATCACCCACTTGGCAGGGCAGACAGGTTCGTAAACCCCTTGAATACCCATCACCACTGGAAACCCAATGAGGGTTCTGCACGCTTCAGAGTTGGCTTTGATGAAATACATCGACCCTTCTTGATGCCGAAATCCAGGAATACTCCCAAGACGATCAACATTTGCCTGCTGAATCCAGTAAAAGGTGCCATCTTGTAGCAACAAAAGGATCTTTGCAATGGAGCGAGGCGTCTCATCCTGGCAAATGTACTCTGCAACATGGAAGAACCCAGCTTTGGCTGCATCGACTATACCATCGAATTCAGGATCATGTTCATGCTCACACCAAGGTTGGGTTGGTGATAGGATTGGATCATCCGCAGCTAGAGCAGGGCCAAGATGAGTGATCTGCAGCGTGCCAATCTGGAAGGTGCCACACTTCAACATCAACGCGCCAGCAGGAAGTTGAGTGCTAACACATGCTGTAGGAACAACCGACCCGTCATGCACCAGCTTGATCAAGTTCAGAAGATGACCATCAAGTTCCAGCGCTCTGAGCAGGGCCAGGATGACAGCTTCATCAGCCAGTTGGTCAATCGGTACCAGCGTCGTGTCATCACAGAACCTGATCAAAGTGCTTCCAGCCAGCCAAGGTTGCCAAGTGGCAACACTGGGGATGGCCTTTGCCACAAAATCCGCAATTGGCTGCAGGACATACATTCCATTGCAACAACGAACCACGGCATTCTCGTTTGTGAGCCGATCATTCCAGCATTGCTGAATGAGAGCCAGCTTAGGAATAGCTTCTCCAGAGACTCCTTCCATTGCCACAAGAATGCCAGCCAAGGCATGAAGCTGAGAAATGGCGTTCCCCAACTGATGAAAAGCCTTACGGAGGTCAACTGGCAAACCAAGCGTAGCAGTCGTGCCAAACAAGGAGGCAAAAAGGAAGGGGTCAACAAAACGAAACTCATCCTGCCAGCTCGTGAGGGTGGCAAAAATCCCTTTCGCTTGAACATGCTCAAACTGCAACAGGTGTTGTGCTGTGTACGAAGCACACAGGGTAGGCAGGTACTCACCGGTCGGGAGAACCCGTTGCATCAAAACCTGATGAGTGGAAGCCCCTTCAACAATTCTAGCTTTCTTACCAGGTGGAAGCAAATTTCTGTCCCCGTAAATCTGCATTTGGTCATCAGTCAATTTAAGGGCCGTGATTAGCGAAGAGGCAGTTCGAAAAAGTGCTTAGGATCATCCCATGGCAGCCTCCGAGGAGATGACAGCTGAAGGCGTTCACCGATCTTCTTGAACTCAACGTCACGTCGACACCAGACTGCCAACCACCTTGTTCGATAGTTGCTGGTGATCTGATGAATTGCCACGTCCTGAGACCAAACACGTCGAAAGCCTGCCAATTGCATAGCGGCCGAGATCACCCGCCAGTGAGGATGGTTCTCCAGACCGTCAGAACACTCATATATGGCAATGATTGGACGGACTCTGCAAAGGTGCTCAAACCGAATCCAAAAAGCAGAAGCCTTCATCTGAAGCAAGTCCTGACTGTTTGCCTCCTCTGCTCCAGCTCGGGCAGGGCGGGGACAACGTCATCAGCAAATTGGATTCGTGAGCCGTGGCCCTCAACAATGTCACGTCGCTGACATCCGCCTGAATGCCATTGTAAGCGGACAGTGGATTGTAGTCGACAGGCACTGGAGCACGAAGCACCTCCTGGTGGTGAATGTAACTCCATGTCTTCATCACTTCGGGACACCAATCGACCGAGGCGTGTGAGGCAAACACGAATCCCAGGTGGCATTTTGAAGCCACCACATCGCTCGAAGCCAACCCTCATACGCACCAGCAAAAAGGTGTGACACCTGCCAGGCTAAGCTACGGTCATGCTTGGATATGTTCCAAACAGGAACTGCTGCATCAGCCAAAATGCGATGATCACTAAGGCGGTTGGCAGGAGGAGCCACAACACCCACCAGCATACCAGGCGAGAAATCAACTCTTGTGTGGGTCACCGGACATAGGATGTCAAAGGTTTCCCAAAGGCCTTCTTGAATCACCTCATCGGCCAAAAGCATCGAAGTGCGACGGAGATGAACACACATGGTCGGTTCATGATGAACATCACACACCTCTCCAAACAGCGCCCAATCTTCTTCATTGCTTCTGCACAGTCCGGTCGTGGCAATGCTCTTCAAAGCCGCACTGACAGTCGAAGCCAGGGAGGAAGGCATGCCGAAGGTGGCCCACTGCAGTAAACTTTCAACAGCAATCGTTCCATGCTCTTGTCCTAGTTCCATCTTCTCCATGGCGTTCCGAGGCTTGGTGAAGCCCACGGTCTTTAGACGTGTCACCTCTGACCAAGTGGCCAGACAGCGACACCCCGGCCCACGCCGAAGAGGGCGTAAGCCAAAGGGCTTGAACCCAGATGGCTGGGGGAGTTTCCTTGAAGAAGCGTGAGCTCTCCTACGTCCAGTTTTTAGAAGCTAACTAGTCGCCCTTACTTAATTGAGCAGGCGCCTACTTAATGAAGTAAGGAGGCAGGACAGAGCAGGTAAAAACAACAAAAACATAATCAATAGATATTAATAGCGTATATTATATATAGTTAAAAAGAAAGTTCAGAGAACGGTGATGTTGACAAGACTCGACAGGCAACACTCATTACAGTGGACTTTGAGTGCCGTTCTCCTCTTGTGGCAGAAGGCACGAAAGAAACTGCCAAAAAAAAGCAGGAAAAAGAAGAAGGCGTGTTAGGCATGTCTAGGCTTTAGATGTGTTCAGGCCCAAAAGGCAAGGCTCCAAAGGGAAATTTAGGACCCAAACCCAAACACATGTTTTCCTCCACAAGCATTTGACCGGAAGTGTGGAGCAGTGTACATGTCTTCAAAGACATACTAGTAGCTTCTTCTTGTCTTTGTTCAAATCCGAATTCGATTAAGGTGATTTGCTGCTTCGAGTTGAAGCACCACTTGGCCAGGTGCACAGCTTCCAAAATGATGTCTTGAAGCACTCACATGTTGGTTCGAAGCAGTACCTTACCTACTTTATGTAAGAAGAGCGATACCCGAGCCATTCGCTGGATGCACTATGATGCGCCTTGCTTCGATGAGGTATAGAGTTTGATCGGGGTTGCCTTGCAGCTCCCGATCCAGAATACTTGGTGGGGTGAGAAAGACGCAGATGTTGCACATTAGGAAGGTGACTTTTTCGATTTGGACATGCTGAAACATTTGGCGTGGAGCTCGCACGTACAATGCTGAGTCTTGCAGAATCCCAAAGACTCTTTCGTCCAGATTTGAGTCTTTGTGCACCTGTCAGCCGCTAGGGTTGCGCTGGTTTGGGCCGTGTGGCAGTGGCGCAGCGAAGAGAGGCGCTATCAACCCCAGCAGCTCAAAAGTACAATTTGAGCGAAGTACATTGACTTGAAGACAGAAAGATGAGGCAGGTGTTTCTTTCTCTGAGGCAAATCACGTTGGTTTCATGCAAAGCTCGTACTATTCTTCCCTTTATGTTGCCGCCATGTTTTTCACTTGTCAGCTCGCAATTGACTGACCGGAAGGTCAGCTTGCAGCCTGGACAACACTCGTTGTCTTTGCGTGCCATCAATCCTGTCCGGACTGTTGCAAAGAATTGGTGCCTCAAATGCAGAAAGACCTCAAAAGCAGTTTGTGCAATCGTGAGGAATTGAGCCTTCAAACTGCTTGCCTAAGCGGCAGTTTTGATGAGTCAAGTTTCTGTCCTCTGTGCGTTGGCTTTTCTGCCTAACCATTGGATTCCCTTTGCAGCTACCGCTACAATCATCATAAAGTATACGTAGATGTAGACAAGAGTTGTGCTGTCTTTGTCCCTACCTGTCAGGTGAGGGTTGTTAGATTTTATGTCAGCTCATGGCTCATGCCGTCCTTCTCCTCCTCCTCCTCCTCCTCCTCCTTGTCCTCCACATCGTCCTCAACCGCGAGCCTCAGCTGGCAGTGTTCCCCGCCGGACCTCAACCACGAAATGCAACACACAATCACAACCACAAAGACACGTTTACAGCACACAACCACAATCACAGCACACAACTCGAGGACCCACAAACAACGGCAAGAACCACAAAACTCACGACCATGGCAACATGCTCCTCACCATGGCATGAAGACAAATGATTGAAGTGTCACAGTGGGGATCACTCGAAGTAGAGTAATTGCGTTGTTTGGTGTGTGTGGTTTGTTTTTATTTATGGTCGTTTTGTGCGGTTCCGGCTCTCAGAGAGGTGGACCTTGGGGGCGTTCGTTGATGTCTCCATAGAGAGAGCTCGTGCCGGCGCAGTGGAAGATTTGAGGCGAGACGGGAAGGAGACGCTTGGAAGTTGCGAATCTTGCAAGTTCAGCGACTTTGGGGGCATACGGCTATGTTCTTGAAATTAGGTTGGAGCCATCGCTATTAGGGGTTGAAGGCCGCTGCTATTAGGTTGGAGGCCATTGCTATTAGGTGGGAGGCCATTGCTATTAGTATGGAGGCCATCGCTTGACATGATATTCACAGCGTTTCTTTTTGCATGTAAAAAGACGCGTTCCCATGATGTGACAAGATCCACAGGCAGCAAGGCCGCGGGGATGGCTACCAGCTAGACCAGCAGCTGCAGGAGCGGAAAAAACATTAGAAACCCTGAGACTGAGCCCTCCTATGTTAACACGTCAGAAACTGCAATTTCATTCTCAGTGTTGCAATGTCATTCTCAGTTTTGTTTGTCTTTTTTTCTCTAGGGTTTTGAAGCTTTGAGAGCCTCTTCTGAAACCAGCATGAACATGTGAAGCCTGCAATTGCTTGCTGTGATGCTCGTGTCATGGCACTCACATTTGTGATAATTGAACACCTTGTTTCCAAGTGGGTTTTCTGCTTGGAAGAACAGCTAATCAGATGGGCATAGCATGACACTGGCAGGCAAGAGTTCGACCAAGTAGCCAACAATCAGGAGGCAGCTTCTTGGAAACTCCTCTTGCGCTTTGAGCCCAGCTAACTGAGTACAACCGCCTGTATCAGCCTTTTGCAGGCCCAATCAGCCTTTTCCTGTGGCTCAGGCGGGACAACTTTGGGATACTTACAGACTTATACTTAGAACATCATTTTTTCCAAAATGGAAATTCCTTTTCTTAGAACATCGAGCTTAGAACATCCAGTGCAAGCACACTTAGAACATGGACCGCAAGCACTCTTAGAACAAGAGAAAACAGCACACTTAGAACATAGAACATCTCAATGTCCAAAACACATTAAAAATATGTTCTAAGTACATGTGTTGGACTATGTTCTTAGTGTAGGTGGCACATACTCTTAGAACATCGCGATCTATACACTTAGAACTTCCCGCCTGTGAAAAACAAATGTGTTTTTGTTCAAAATATGTTCTAAGTGTATGTCTTACGGTATAAAGGAAAGGAACAAGGACGCTACTCCGGGCTCCTGGCCTTCAGAGACATTTGGGAAACTGTCCTGAGGCCCAAGTTCGAGGTTGAGGCTGGCGGTCATGTGGAACTTCACGCGGCGCAGGCAAGGGCAAGAGCGGCAAGAACTGAAGACCAACACGACTCTGAATCTGACTTGGGACGCGGGGAAGCTGCTGAAAGCTGGAGAAACTCAATTGATGGATGCCGTATTTAGGTTTTTTGATGAGAAAACCCAAGACGCCAGCCAGGGCTTTGAGATGTCCTGCCAGCCAGCCTTGGTGCTGCTGGCCGTGCCTCCAGGATTGATTGCAGTATGCATTCAACTTTCCGTATGCTCCCGCAATCTTCCTGGGCAGCAAACACAGCTTAACAAGCAAAAGCGATTACTGTTGAAGCTACATCGCCGGCTTTTGCAACCAAATGATTCGCTTCAGCGCCTCGCTAAAGATTGATGTTTAACTGCCGCGAGTCATACGCATTTTGCCAACAAAAAGGCACACCACCGTGTTTTGATTTTTAATTGGCAGTTGAAAAATTCAACGAAGGTCTCCTGCACTAAGCTCATCCCTTCAAAATCTTACAGCCCTAATTAACTGCAGCCAGCCCCACACCCACTGCCTGTGACTGCTCTTCCCAAAAAAGGCATCAGGTTCTGCACTGAAACTGACCTCTAAACCCACAGCCTAACTTGGCCACACAGATGATATGAAAAAGTACCGAGACTGCAAGATGGTTTCAATGCCACCTTTGATTCCGTTTGCACCTAACTCTCAAGCCCAGGCGCATCCTGGCCACATCAGCCTGACCTTTGGATTTCCCTCACGGTCGATATGCACATGTTATCATTATCAGAATCATAGAATTTCCGTTATCAAGCAAGTCGTTTGTCCGGTTTCAATGAAGACACGAATCCTCACTAGAGTGTGTTTCAAACTGGCAGGGAAATTCTGATTGCTGCTTCAGCCTTTAGGACGCTGCAAAGCCTACCATGTCACCTCTGGAGTGGAGTACACCGACGACCATGATGTCATCGACTTTGAGATTAGTCAGGCAGACTTTGTGCTCCAAAAACGGCTCAACAACGATCCGTACCAACCTGTGAAGTAGTGCCAGGGCTACTCTTTGTTGCCGGAGCACGAATACGAGCTGTCAGTTTCGTCCAGGCCAGATGAGAATGTCACATAATCCAGGTGGCATTTCATGTATTTTTATGTATTTTTATTAATACATGAATCATGTATTCCACACAAAGTGGTTGTGACATGTCGCCAGGAATCCTTTCGTTCCTGGCTCAAGCCGCCAGGGGCTCAGGTCGCCGGGGCGCCACTGCCGATGGTGTTCTACATAGTCTGATATCGATTTAGGATGATTTAGGTGGTTCTTACTATTAGGATCTATTAGGCTTGAGGCCGCTATTAGGTTCTGCCAGAAGAGTTTTCTCAGGCTGGGGGGTCCTCCTTCGTGATGAACTGCGGCAAGTGCTTGAAGCAAACATGGAGGTGTCTTAGAGAATGGAACCTGGTTGGATATGTGAAACAGGATGAAAAAAGAAGTCTAAGAGAGAAAAACATGGATGACCTGATCAAAGAGTCCAATTGTTCCATAGTTGTTCTATCGTTTCTGCCAGATCGACTCCTACACACTCACTGATTTCGGTTTCGAGCTCTTGTCGCTTCAGCCCAGTATTTCAGCCTGGATCTTGATTGAACCGATTTCGCCACTGAAGCTTACTTTGAATAGATACATTCCAAAGATACAAGTGTATATACATACTGTATACAGATACGAGCTACTTCAAGCTTCTTTTTGTAGTTTTCAGTTTCGCAGTCACTAATCGTGTGAGGCACCCAATGCCAGTAATGAGGTGCGACCTTCAGACCCGACAAGTCGTATAGTAGAAACAAGTGCCACGCTAGTAGAAACAAGTGCCTTACTAGTAGTAACAAGAAGCTATTAGAAACAAGTGCCTTACTAGTAGTAACAATGTTTTCATTTAATTAGAATTGTAATTACTAGCAAACATTGTTACTACCAGTAAGGCACTTGTTACTACTAGCGATGCACTTGTAATTACTAGCTTCTTGGAATCTACTAGGACCTTCAGACTCGACAAGTCGTATCAAGTCTCTCGACAAGTCGCTATTCGTCACATGTGTCATGTATGCTCCTAGTAGCGTCCGATCGCTCCTAGCAGCGATGCCCTTTGCTCCTAGTAGCGTCCTTGCTCCTAGTAGTCTGCGACTTGGTCTACACATGTGTCATGTATCTCCCAGGTACGACTCCAGCTTCGCTTTCAGCGTCAACTTGTGCTGACCTCTATCAGTGAGGTGCCCACTGTGCCCACCACTGTGCCTGCGACCTTCCCACAACAAAGTAGACGAAACCAGCAGTATGCGTAACATCCCAAATAGAATGTGCAAATCAGAAACTGGACGTCGCAGTGCTTTCGGCTCAATTGCGTTGGGCCACCGAAACCCTTCATACAACGTGGCTTGTCAGCAAGCTCCACTTCCTTGGTGAGAGGAATGCACGCGGGATCTTCAACCCCAGCCCTCTCAAGGCTGCTGTGGTAAATATACATGTTTCTACACTGGAGAGCAATGCTTGATAGGTTGAAATCTCAGATCCTGTTTGGAATTGATTCAAGATAGACAAATATGCACCCCCCAATTCTAAGAATTCATACAGTTGATGGAAAGACCCTGCACCTGTGGAAGAACCAAATACCCCCTATTTACTATATATTGGGTTAGACAGCAAACCTGCAGAAGAAAAAGTTGAAGGACCAAAATCCTGCATCAGCTATTTACGAGCTTTCAGGGGGGCCTTCAATGATTCAATTTGGCTTGAGAGGAGACCCTACGCTAAAGCATACTCTGTACGCTGTATATATAATGTATACAATTATGCATGTTTGCATTTTTGAAGCTCAGAGGGGAAGAAAACGTCTCGGTAGAAGATTAGACATTCGAGCATACTTCAGTGATCTTCAGTGTATACAGTGGTTGAAAGCCGACCTAAGCCCAAGGTGCAGAATTCCTGCGGCTTGAAATTTCATTTTTTTTCTGAGTTGGGTAGGTGCAGATTCTACGAAGCCTCAATTTGTTGACAAGTCCATGGACTTCACTGAAACTCAAAAAGGATTGAACATGATTGAGCAGCTTGCACACATGCCATGATTCTGCACCATTCTGCACCTTGGGCTTGCAGTCACTTCACATGCTAGAAGTTTCAATTGTTTGAAGGATTGGACTTGAAAAAAACAGATAGATTCAAGCCTTTGCAGCGATTCTGCGCATGCCCCACTGAGTAGATTTATATGGTTTGAATGCTTGAATTTCTCAACTTTGTTTACAGCCCAAGTCAAGCTCATAGATGGATATCCAATAGAGGAGCTGCTTCAATATGATATAGATTACCTGAGCGAAACGAAAGATACGGGCAAGAAAAAAATGCTTGTCCATTGTGAAAGACTTAGAACATTAACATATTTTCATACAGGAAGGGATCTCTATATATACAATATACAAGAGGCTCCTGCAACGGAGAAGACCCTTGTAAACGGGGCATGATTGTGAAGATGTTGATTCGCAAAAACGGACCTGATACCAAGGACAAGACTCATATAGATAGTCAAGAAGAAAGTTGATACCGGAGGAAAAACCTCCCTGCATGAGAGGAAGAGGTATTGTTTTGAAAAAGGATGAATTCCTTACGAATGAGGAGCTTGTGTGATGAGATTATTTCAACACAAGGATGTTTTGACGAATAGGTCTTTCAAAAAAGTTAAGTTTATACGCAACAAGTATTGCCTCTGCAAGAACTCTTGCGAAGAACGCTCAAAAGGTACTGTACTTATAATACACCAGTATAGTATACGAACACACACACACACGTGCAGTCTTTGTCAGTGCAAAACTCTGCAACTCTGGAGCACATCGAAGCAAGGCATGACTTGAAGTCTTCAGCTTCCTGCGAAGGTGCTGCTGTGGTGCCAAGCGAATCTGCATTGGTCAATCAGTTGAGTCTCTTTTAGTCTCTGAGCTAAGTAACTCTGTTGAGGGTTGATGACAAGATGCTTCTGCTGGTCCACAACTTACAATTTCTGCGATGATATTGTGCATTGACAAGCATTTTTACCAAAGCCAACAGAAAATGAGGTTGCTTGTCATCTCCTTGAGTCAATGTGCAGCCGTCTGACGCACAGTGAGATTTGAGAGTCAATGAAGTTACTCTTGAACCCCCACAATTCGGGAGATGTGTGACAGATCCATTTACAAAGTCTGTGTCTTGGCTTCTGTTTAAGGCTGACTGCAAGGCTCCAGACGTGCCCAAGGAGTGTGGGTTTTGTGGGAGACGTGCGGGCACAATTGATTTCTCAGTCAATTCTGGCGGTTGACTGGTCGGGCCAGGATTCTCTGGAGGAAGAGAGTGGTCACCTTAATCAAACCAATCAAAATTCAAAGCCCGGGGAAATGGGTCGTGGGGCTAGTGGCGTCGGAAATTGCTACGTAGGAGGCTAGCGCCAGTAGGTTGGAGGCCATCGCTAGTAGGTTGGAAGCTATTAGGTTGCAATGCCGTAGCTGTATTTTTCAAGATCTTCAGGTGATGACGTGGTGCTGTTGGCGATGCCCCAGCGGCCACGGCCAACACGCAAAGTGATCCCCAGGCCACTCGATGTTGCGAACTTTTGACTTGTTGGTCACAGCACAGCATCAAAGAACTAGGCAGCATCAGGCCTGACTGATGAGATCTGCCAGGAGCAGCGAGAGTGATGCCACATCTCTTTTCCAGGTGAGAGCAGTATCTTGAGCAAAAGGGAGATTTCGTGGAGGTTTTTGTTGATCAAATACACTGTATCTTTGTTTGGCTATGTGCTTTGTGACGCAACAGGGAGGTTTCCTGAGAGGGTTTAGGGATGCTCCGAGCCTGTTGAACTGAAGCAGCTGAAGGTTGATGAGGTGAGCAATCCCGCATGAGTCTCAGCTAGTTTGCCCGGAGCGCATGTGATTGGACTAGAAAAGCCAAGGTCGTAGTGAAAGAGGATGCTGATAACGTATTTCTGCTTGGACCCCAACTTCTTTGGGTCAACATGAGCTTTGCAGCTTTGCCTGTTTCTGCTTGTGAGGCCAAAGACCTGGTTGCTTGTGACATTGCTACTTGTCACCTTGCTTCTGAGCTTGCACCCTGGCCTGCAACGAGCTGGACATTTCAATCGTGCCATCTAGTGCACTTGAAACATCGCAGGTGTGCATTTCAGTGGAGCAAAGAGGCCGGGTGGGTCAGGTGACATCTTTTGCACCATGCGGAATGATTTAAGATTGTAGACGAATACACCAGAGCTGATCTGGATTTTAGACACCCCCAAATGCCGCTGAGACTTCAACTGTTGTGTGTTTCAGGATGGAAACCGCGAGCTTCGAACCTTGGCAGGGCCTCCAAAGCTTTTGTCTGTGATAGAAACTTGCAAGATTGAAAAGGGCTGAGCTAACAGTTCACATCGGTTCAAGCTGGTCCTTGTTTGGCCTTGACAAAGCTGGGGTTTGCCACCCTGTCCCTTGCAAAGCCAATCGGCACTGGAAAGCTCATAGGTTGGTCGACTTGCGCTGAAGTCAGCAGAGGCATGGGCAGATGGGAGAGAGCGACGAGAAGACATGATTTCAAAAAACAAGTCCTTCCACTTTGCCTCAAATATCCAGTCATAAGCTTCGTGTTCTGTCGTCTTAGTCTAGTTTTTTCCCGGAGATTGGTACACGAATGTTTGCGAGGACATTCTAAGTCAGTTTGCCGAAGCCTCAGGGTCCAGACTCCAACATCTTTGCTTTCAAGTCCTTACTCGTAGCAATTGGGCTTTGGCGCCAAGGATTCGCCTCCGGATCCTTCTTTGCAGCACCTTGTCCGCTTTTTGCTGGTATGTGGCAACGAAGTGCTGACACTCTCCAACCTCTTCACTTGTGCTGACCACATTCTGAGTTTCCAAGTCAGTTGAAGCGTTGGATGGAAGATGATGGAAGACGGTTGCGAAACTCCATTGCACTAGAGACATACTAAATTCCTCATGAGCTAGACACTGAGGAAGCTGGGCATGACCCGGATACAAGGACGTTCGATCTCATTGAATAGACATCACTCAGTAAGAGCATGCTACACTGGCAAAATAGACAGCAGAACTGAAGGCATCATTCAACCAACACTTTCATTGTCAACTGCCACGGCTTTCAACACTTGTCCACCAAATTCTAGAAGATTTACAGTTCTGTTGGGGGGTCTTGTTGAGGACGAGTGATTGCAAAGACTGCGCAAATGATGGCCTGATCCTCAGAAACGCTCGAGAGGGTGCTACAGTGCTGATCACCTGCACATATTTGGCTTTGGGATTAAACCATCGGAAAAAAACATGTCCTAAAGCCTTCGGTTTGTCTCTAAAGTCTGACTCAAATTTTAGCACATAGCACCTTTGCTTCCCTCAACTTCTTCATGTCACAACTGCTTTATGTCTGAAAGAAGGTGGGCGGTCTTTATATATTCGTAGGTAGTGGCTTCAAGGCAAACCTACTAGAGGTAAAGGCAGTGCGTTATGCATTTCAATGTTCGTATGTTTTGTCCAGACAAGATTGTGTTTGCAAGGTCACTCCCTTCAGCGACCAGTCGTGCGTGATGTACTCGGCCTCGGCCTCCCAGAAGCGTCAGGACGTCGAAGTTCTTTGGGGTTGGCATCTACAAAATGCCATTTAGGGACCCATTCTATAGCGAGGGTACCGTCGATGAAAAGGCCAAAACCTGAAGAAGGTATTCTGTAGAGTGGTCAGTTTCAAGTATTTTCTACACGATGCTTTGTAAACACTTCAATACTCTAATGGCTTTGCCAGAATGTTTCTGATGGCATGAGCCTTTTGAGCAGGATGGCGTTCATCAGCCTCCGTTGGCATACCATGCGGCATGTTCAGACTTTGCAATCGAGTCAGATCCTGAGAGCAGAATTGTCCGAGTCAACTGAGTTAAACCATATCAAACCTATTTACACAACGCGCCTTACCAAGCGGGCAGGAGAGGTTTGTGAGTGACGTAGCCAGGTGCAAACGAACTATAGGCATTTGTCAGTCCTATGGCAGTTGGTACAGTGTGCTCCAAGGTTGGAGGGAGCAACACCATTGCAGGCGAACTCCGCATTGGAGGATTCCGGCAGAAGTTTCCGCGTCGTTGTGTGGTAAGTGAGTGTGATAAGTGTAATTAATAGTAATTCATTTGTAATGTATGCGTATGTATGCGTCGTGATTTGTGCGGCATCACTGCCATAATTCAAGCAGACAACAAAACAAATGTTGTTTGTTGAGTCTATGTTCATTAAATGCTGTTGGTCAGAAAATCGAATTCACAAGTCCAATTTTGATGGCAGGTGTGGGACGGTAGTTATAATGATCACACCGTTCCAAATTTAATATAGTTCTGTAAAGGTTTCCCCGTGAAAGATGACCACCCTCACCGTCCCAGATCTCCCCGTGTTGGATTGTAGCGGGAAAGGATTGTAGGAGCCCCTAGTAGCTTCTTGTTCCCCTTAGTAAGGCCAGGAGCCCCTAGTAGCGTCCGATCGCTCCTAGTAGCGATGCCAGGAGCCCCTAGTTGAACATCAAGAAATACGTTTGTTGTTTGGCGAGTGCATATTGGGTGTACAGATGATTTGCAAAACATACAATCTAGGAGAGGGGGGCTGAGCCTAAGCACAATAGCAAGTCTTTTCAGTAGGCCTTGGTTTTTCAGAAAATATATACTTATTTTTTTACGACGAAGCCGCTACTTATCTCGGCTTTTCTCTTGAAATGCTGTTTTTCTTGAAATCTTTACTTTTCTTGGCCTTTCCTAGACATTTCTGTTTTACACCATTTACAGTATCTTAATTTCATGAATGACTGGTCTGTCTTTTTCTCATCTGTTTTCAGAAGACGTTTTTTCTAGACGTTTTCTAGAAATCTCGACAGCCCTGCCACTGCAATTCGCAACCCTCCATCGGTTGCATTCCCAGAATTGCACTGCCCTCAAACGAGCTACGTTCGTAGCGTCCTTGCTCCTAGTAGCGATGCCAGGAGCTACTAGTAGCTTCTTGCTCCTAGTAGTCTAGTAGTAACAGCTATGCCGGCTGCCAGCGCACTGACAATATCCACCGTCCTAAACCTTTCGACAGCCACACCCTGCAGAATCCACGAGCACACTGTGCTTAGTCTGTAGTTATTCTGTCTCTTCAAACACTTCCGACAACTGGCATCTTGATGCACTTGTTCCTAGTAGCTTCTTGCTCCTACTAGTAAGGCACTT